CAAGAAAGTATTAAAAACAGAAGTACAAGAATTGGTAGTATTTTCCACTAAAAAATAATATGAATGCATTGACTTATTCATGCCTGAATCAATTTTGAGGCAAACATAGGTGCTTAGAACCACATGATAAACACTTCGTAGTGTTCATCAGAACACTTTGTAGTGTTCTTGCATTCAGAAGCTAAAATGGCTTGGTGAAAGAAAGTGGTGTCTGAGAAGCCAGAACACTGCTGTTTTTCTGAGAAGGAAAGAAGTTTTATTTCCCACAAAAACACACACACAGGCTTGGGTAGGGGCTTGCTAGAGCTGGGGATTAAAACAGATCTGAAATTTAAAATGACAGACATTTCCTCTCTAATCACATTCTATGGGAGATAATATAAAAAACTCTTATTAGATGTCTCTGACGTAAGCTTTGAGAAGTAAGCTTTTCTACTGTGCCTCCTGTAGGATTCTGTAAAAGTGCATGAGACACTATCACATTTCATCCAACTCATGTTATTCTTTATCTCCTTTGGACAATGCTATTTCTGTAGGGACAAGTGGAAGAAAGAAAAACTGAACATTTTTATCCTCAAGGAAGGAAACAAGGCAAATTCAACTCGGCTGAGATGACTGGGTTTAACAGTCCCAGGCCTTAGATGAGCATATCTGCACTGCTTTGTACCTTGGTTTATAGTATAACACAGAGGGAGTTTTAAATCCAAAGGGTGATAAGGGTTCTATTAAGGTAGAGGGAATGACCATTGTCAACCCTAACCAAAAACTCTTGTCTCAATACACTCTAAGGTGGTGAATTTTTAGGATGGAGGTGATATCAGTATTATTTTTATTTGTCTGTATCATGCCTGACACTTTTGGGTGCTCATCAAATAAACAGACAAGAATCTTTTTAGAGCACTTTAAAAGAGTAAGTGCCAAACTGCATTCACTTGTGGGAAAAGCCCAGGGAACAAGAAGAAGAAAAAGAAGCTCTAGATTCTCTTCTCAAATTATCCCTACCAGAGAAAAGCAGTTGAGAACATTTTGGCCTGGTCTAGGAAAGGATTTAAATGTATGATGTCAGCTGTTACACTTTAACCAACAGATTTTAAATCTAATCTAAATAAGCCTTTAATGAAACTAAGTACATAAAATCTGGTGGGTAGTCTAGGCAGAAATGTCATTGGGTAAAACGGGCTAGCAGCAATGTGGGGACATTCCACAGACACTGACTCCTCCACATCACATCTCCCTTGTAATCTCTGTGAAGCACCAATCCTGGGTAACAGCAGAACAGTTTTCACTCTGGCTGGGAAAAGAGAGAGGGAAAATCATGCCAGGACAATGGAACTGCTCTCTCAACTGTATCACCTAGAAGATGCACAGAAGTGAATTCTCCACTCATGAAAGTGAAAGGCTGCCTGAGTCTAACTAAATTAACCTACATGGTATCTCTGAGGTCAATATGCGTATGAACAATTATTACATATGAACTGTACAGAGCTATAGCAAGACTGAATCAATGGTGGCAAAACATTCTGAGAACCTCACAGTAAGGAGTAATGGAAAGCTAGCAGCAGCTACAGCAAAAGTTTCCTAACCATTTCTATTCTAAAGACCCAAACCAAGCCTTTGGGAAGTTGGGTATCCAAAAATAACTAGTCAATTCTAAAACATTTGCCCCCATCTTTACTAGTTGATACCTTTTCTAAAGTTTCGTTTTCCAAGCTGAAATATGCCAGGCCTTGTCTCTGCCTCACGGCACGTTTTTAAAATTAAGTTTCAGCAGCAAGGTTCTGTCATGTTTGAAAGGGAAGCACACAAAATACACTTTTCCTATTACCTGAAGAAGCGTTCAAGACAATATTTAAAAAATAGATCAAGCACTGAAGGGGGAGGAAAACTGTCCTGTCAGTGTTTCCCAAACTGTCCTATGGGAAAGGCACAAACACATGAAAACTTTATTTTGATCTGGCAGTCATGAGGGTTTGAAAATGTTTGTTCCTGGTATAGACCAGTTGATGAAAGTGTTTTTATTTAAAAAACAAACAAGGAACTCCACCTGTTTTGTGGGTGCTGCCTTTACTCTGTAGTAGAGAGACAGAGTGAAAATTAGTCAGCAACATTTCTCTGCATCCCACCCTATCTACATACAATCTTTTACCAGCTGAATTAAACTGTCTTGGTAATATCAATGCAAACCCCTGTTTGCTGACGTCTAGATAACATGCCTTAAAGTAAGAAACTAAAGAAGCTTAATCTATTTAGTTTATCCAAGAGAAGGTGAAGAGGTGACTTAATTACAATCTGTCGGTACCTGGAAGAGATTTCTGGTAGTGGAGGACTCTTTAATCTAGCAGACAAAAGCATAACAAGATTCAGAAACTGAAGCTAGAAAAATTCAGATTAGAAACATGACTGACTTTTTTCACAGGGATGTAGAAGATGTTCAGGCACCTGAAGTCTTTAAATCAAGATTGGATGCCTTTCTAAACAATATGCTCTAACTCAACCAAGAGCTCAATGCATGAATTCACTTATTGGAGGAAGAGGAGGACAACAGAAAAGAGACTGCTTTCTAAGGCCAGATACTTCTGGTCCTGCCCACCTGTACAGATATAAAAGGAGGCATGTGAGAAAAGCAGTGAGTTGGCTCTATGCCCACCGAAGTGAGGACTTCCAGCACTGGTGCTGGACAGCTCCCACTGGACAACTAGAGAGTAGGGCAGTAACTGGGACAGTGGGACAGAGGGATGAGAGCCCCCACTGCTGATGAACTGAAGGTGGCTGAGCTTAGGAGTGATGGTGTGAGCAACAGGATTTAGTAGGCAAGCCAGTACAAGATGGGAGGTGTCTGTGTCATAAAGCAACAGATACAGAACTGACCCAGGGAACTTGTACTGAACTGTACTGAGCTGCACCAGAGCATAACTGATGAGGGTGTCCAGTCAAAGCTATCGGTTGGGCCTGCTAGAGTTGAGTAGACCTGGATCCCCAATGCTGTTTTAGTTCCTGAGCAGCAGAAGATGTGTCTGCTGAAAAAGATAAACACTGGAAGAGACAATACAAGATAAACAATGAAAGACTACACAACTGTAGGAGTTGTGGGAATATGGAATACCTTGCCTGTATGTGAGGAACAGAAGAGTTAGAATCTTTTGCGTAGGTCCTATATAAATAGTTATGTGTATATTACAAATATACATACATACACATTAT